TGGGGAATGGGGGGCACACCACTTCCCCCCATCTTCTCTCAATGCTCTGAATTCTTCCGGTGGCTACAAGTATAAAGTGAACAATCGTGCCCCAACAAAGGCGGCCTGCACGTTTTCCTCCTAGTTGGAAAACGGAAGGCCATATGGCGACATTTATAAGGAAGGGGATGTAGTATCTTAAAAGAATCTAGATGATAGTTTCCGTTACTTGACATTTTAATACAAGGACCTTGATTTTAGTTTTAAAAGTTTCACCTAATGGTCAAAATTAATGTGATCTTAGCCTTTTATGAGTTGAAGGTTGGGGATGGTAGAAATTTTGGCCCTTAGTGGGATAATGGAACTAAGAGAAATCAACAAAATTCATCATTTATTTTTTAAAAATTGATTTTATTACTCCTCAACCCAGGATGCCATTTCGAGTCTCTTGCCTAATTGGCCAAAGACTCCCATGGCATTCATCATTTAGCTTAATAGATTATTTTGTTAAATAATTCAATTTCATTATATTTTAGAAAAAAAACATTAATGAAACCAAAAGTATAACAGCAAATTCAAAAAAACTTAAATATAATGCTAAAATTTAATATTGAACTTTAATATAATGATAAATTTAGCTTAATACAGAGATGATGTTGTTTTTAAGTTGAAATATCAATGTTTTGTTTCTTCTAATATAATATCTTTTTTCTCTTTTTTTTTTTGATATCTCAAATTATGTTCTTTTTTTAAAATACCTAATATTCTAATCCTTTTATATTCTAAATTGATTTTTTTATGATTTTTTTTTTGACATTAAAGATCATGACATATCAATTATATTATAAAATATATCAAAATCAAAACAAAATCTTGGAGCCCAGCAAAATCAAATTGAGAGGTACAAAATAAAATAGAGGGTGTATTTTCTTCATAAAAAATGTCATTTTGAATTGAATAATTTAGAAAAAATAAAATTGACACTTTGAGTGGAAGGAATCAAAGGGAGAATACATTAAAACTTGCTTAATAGTGGTGCATGTTGGTGAGCAAATTATAAAGAAGTTTTGCTAGGATCCTCTCTACACTTGCATAAATAATGTTAGACTCCTTGGACCTTAGTCCCCAATGGCTAATCATTATATCCCAACATAAATTCGATTTCCAATCAATAGAATTCCCACTAGCTAGCAATCCTTTCCACTTCATCCACCTAGCACTCTTTCTCCATATTAAATAGAGAGACAGAAACAGAATGCAAACAGCAACCCTCCCTAAGCAGATAGAAATGGAGTCTAAACTATACAAAGCTGTTATGTCTGGTGATCGAACTTCCTTCAGTGAGTTAATCGAATTGGATCCAAGTATTCTTCTCAAGGTAACAACCCAAGAAGACACGGTTCTTCATGTTGCGGCCAAATTCAATCAGAAAAAAATGGCTGAAGAGATCCTCAAAACGCAGCCATCACTTGTTTATCAAAGGAATTCAAAAGGTGACACTGCACTGCACGTTGCAGCAAGGTTAGGCAGCGAAGAAACGGTAGAATTCTTCATAGATTTTTTGAATATATCATCGGCGAGCCGAGGAGTTGAAAAAGGAGCAGAAGTGGAAGAAAAGCTGCTGCTAAGGATGGTGAATTTGGAGAAGGAAACAGCACTGCACGAAGCTGTGAAAAACGACCGTTATAGAGTTGTGAAGATGCTAATCAAGGAAGACCCGGGATTAACTGGCTTTACAAACGATGCTGGGGAATCCCCACTTTTCCTGGCTGTGGATAGAAAACTTAAGGATATTGCTAAACTAATCTTACAAGTTGATGAATGCTCTTTTGATGGAAGAAATAACATGAATGCTTTGCATGCAGCTGTTGTTCGCTCAAAAAAGGAAGGTATACCTTTTACGAAATTTTCCATCTTTTTATCAAAAGCAAGCTAGCTAGATCTATCTATATATCAAATTAACTATGCATTCCTTAATTATTCAAGAAATCATGAACTGCTGTAACTTTTTCTTCTTTATTATTGTGTTTCTTTTCTTATTAGCTTCATATTAGATATAGGTATACATGTTACAGATTTCGTATTAGTAAGAGATGAAACAGGTATTGGATTTATAAGTAAAATTTGTTTTTCACATATATTTTTTGGTTGAAACTATAGACATGTGATAAGTAGTTTCATGATATCCTTATGAGTGTAATGTGTGGTAGAATGTTACATCAGTAAGAGATAAGATAAATCTTAAAGTTATAAATAAGAGTCTTCCTTCACTTAATTGCCATGTCTTTTGCATTGAAAATATTATTAGATCATCCTACTTTTGTTATTTGTTTTTTGTTTTGTAGTTCGCAAATTGTTTCCGTATTTGGCAATGCTTTTTATGGAACATCCTCCCAAAGCCATAGCCAACCTGCAAGCTTATGCGGATTTAAATTGCTTCAGGAATATCTTCAATATTCCTTATATCTTGATCAATTGGGTCTTACCTACCCGCATAAGTAAAGGTACGTAAATGCTTCTCTGATCCTTTCCAATTCTGTTTACACTAGCGTTTGCACATGAAAATAATCCTTTTCGTATCATTATTTTTCTTGCTTATAGCCTTCATCGAAGCCTTGCTGAAAGAACACCCATCTGCAATCCAGAAATGTGATGACTACGGATGGACTCCCCTTCATTATGCAGCATTCTTAGGCAAATCCAACATTCTCAATCTGTTCTTAACGTATGAGTCCGATGATGAAAACAAAGCGGTCTCAGTTGATTCAGTTGCTAGAATTATGGACAGAGAAGGCATGACGATCCTCCATGTTGCTGCCAAAGCAGGCAGAGTGAAAGCATTGAAAATACTGGCAAAACTGTGCCCTGATATTTGGGATATGCAAGATAACAAAGGCCGGACAGCTCTTCACTTGGCTGCTGACAATGGCGAGGTTCGAGCAGTCGAGTTTATTCTAATTAAGACAAAAAAGCTTTCGAATGGTCTTGTAAATGAGCAAGATTATGAAGGAAACACCCCTATGCATCTAGCTGCCATCCAAGGATTCCAATCAATATTCGAATTGTTCAAAAGGGATAAAAGGGTCGACAAGGCGATTCGCAACAAGAAAGGTCTTGGGATTCTGGACATGGTTCGGTTGCATGAGGATCTTACCATCAATGAAAAGGTTTGAATCGTCATAAGCTTCAATACTCTGTTTAATGATCACAAGTCTCTCTTTGTTATTCTTTAAAATAAATTTTAAACTCGAAATCCACATCTTAACATTTAAAATTAAATTTACGTTACATTTGAAAAAAGGGTGTTAACTCTTTCGTGCACTTGCTTAAATATGCAAGAAGAACAATTTGAATCAGGGGAGAGTGAATGAGTGAAACTAATATATTGTTTAACTTATTTGAGAAATGAAAATTGCAGTGTTGGATGGGATTGAGTGCTGCAAGGAAAGGTAGCTTATCAAGTTTGGAATGTACCATCGACAGAAAAGAGCAAGACATTCCTGTGTTTAAAACAAGAAAGTCAAAACATCCACAAAAACTGTTAGACTTTGCACCGGAAGTTCATGGGGAGGACGAGGCAGAGGGTGTGGTCGAGGAGATTGAAAACGTGATTGGCAAGCTGCTTAAATAAAATACATAATAATAGAATGTGAAGTTGTCGTAGAGTTATCTTGATAACCCATCGAGATTTGAGTCTTGTATTGTAAAATATATGACTTGCTTCATGTTAAAATATCTTCAATCACTTAGGTTTTGTTCAAGTAGTGAGAGATATGTCAACCACTTAGGTTTTGCTTAAGCAGTGAGAGACATCAATAACGCATTAGTTTATTGTTATAAAGCTACTTGTATAATTTTATGTGTGTGTAAAATTCTTTAAAAGTATCTCTGTAGCTATCATGTATTATGATCCACATCTATAGAATTTTAGTGAAATTGTTATGATTAATTCAAAAAAGTGTAAGAATTTTCTATTTCCCGCAACAAAAGAGTCGTGTGCTTGAATATTATATATATATATATATATATATGCCATGAGGACTTTCTATTGATTATAAAGGTTTAAGTGAGTGGTTTTGGGTGGTAATAAATTATAGGGAGAATGAAAATAAAAGATAAAAAAAAATAGAGGTCGGATTCCAATGAAAATAAACGATTACCCTACCTATTAATTAACATCCCTATTATTATTATCACTTAAACTTTTCAGCTGAAGTGCTATCTCACTGAATTTCTCTCAAAGAGTCTGATTGGTTGAGCTAAGCTTGGCAAATCCCAAAGCCCAGCTTGGGATTGACATTAATGTTTAAACACTAGCCCAAGCCCATCTAATTTGACTCCCATTTTTCCTCCAGGTTTAAGGAAATAATTTTAGTTTAACCAAAAAAAAAGAGAAGAAAGTAAAGACTTTTTGTTAATCCAATGTAAAAACTAATAGTTGATAATTTCTTATTTACTTGCTATAGAGACATACCATAATCCTTACAACTTAACAATAGTTGATATAAACTCACAAGAATAATCATCAAATTAAATCATAACATTAAAATAATCATATATCATCAATCAATTCTTTTCTTCTCATCAACACGATAAAAATATAATTTCTAATTATACCGTAAACATTACTATTATACACAAAACACTTTAGAATTTGATTAACATGTATCGTAAAACACGGCTAGGGTTTTTCTATTCTCCGGTAAATATTATAGTTTTGTTCCTGGAAATTACAGAGATTCATAGACGAGTAAACTTCAGAGTGATGCCCTTAGGGAAGCTATATCCAGCATTGTGACTCAGTCCAAGGAAAAAACCCGTGAGTTCACTGAGGCCATTGAACTCCAGATTGGGCTGAAAAACTATGATCCCCAAAAGGACAAGCGTT